AACTGTTTCCTGCCACTCTAGGAATTCAAAGCATTCTGATGTAAGAACAATGGCATAATAGCCATAACTGGCAAAAGGGTTATAAATATATATATATATTTACTTACTTGTAGTAAAAAGGAAAAAAATTAAAGTCACTATGTTACATGCATTTTTAACAGCATTTCTCTAGAAACAACATTTTAAGAAGCTGAATTGAGACGTAGGTAATTAAAACTATACTCAAGCCTAAGATGCATGAAAATAGGTAATTGCAGATTAATATTCCACTGTAATACTTAGGCTGAGTTAAAGTTGCCATGGGAAACAAACCTGAATTTCTTTATTTTTCAGTAACTCATGATCATCCTCAACAAAGGTTTTGGCAGGTGATTTCTAGTGCATTGAGCTTAACAGCCACACAAAAACAGTGCAAGAAGAAAGCTGCTAATGTGGGGATGTCTAGATAGAACAGGCAGGCACAGGTGCACTGCCTCTGGATTGTAACAATGTCTGTTACTGTGTAAGACACCTGCACTCCCATCCTGGCCTTCAGCTGGGATTGCCTTGATGCAATCTCCACAGAAAACCATGTGGGAAGCACACAGAAGGCACCTTGCAGCCTGCTCCCCAGCGATCCCTCCATCACCTCCTCCTGCAGCAAGTTTGAGATTTCAAGAACATATTCCTCCTACAAAGTAGCTTCAGCTATGGCTCCCAAGGCAGCTTCCCTATCCTCTATCTAGTCACCCTACGCAGAGAGCTTGGCATCTGTTGATATGGCCTAAATTTGGTGGAAATCAACATCCATTCCCATTACAAAGTCAGTCTATAAATCACAGCAGCGCAGGAGCAGAGACACGCGACTCAGCTGTCCCTGCTGAGGTAACAAGATCACGGACAGAGCAGGACAGGCAGCTGTACAGATCATCACAGCCACTCCAGCTGTACCTGCCCAGGACTGTGAGCTGGGTGTGAGACAGATGATCTGATATAACCTTCTCCTGCATTTGTACGCAATATCATCTTACAGAAAGACTGGCTCTTATTTGTTAATATACTTTTGCCAATCACAATACATACTATGATCATCTAGATTTGTTTGAACACCTAAAAAATAAATTAGTAACTGAACATCTGCTTAGTCTGTGTCAATGTTTATGGTTTTACGTTGAAATGGTGAGTGATGTTTTATATTTATTACTATATCCAGTTTAATTTGACAGCAATTATAATTCAAAATTCTCCCAAAATAACAATCTAGATGCACACTAAACAGAGTTGAAGTATCTAAGATACACTAACAAAAATATCACGATATTTTTGCATTTTAAAAGTACTGTTTAGGAGGACACAGAAAACATTGTCTGTAAACAATTTATTCTGCTTCTAGTCACAAACTTCTTCAGCAATAAGATATGAACATTTAATATTTCCCTTTACAGAGAGTTTGAAAGAGGCAAATTACTACTTCCCAAATGATTACCAATTTGAGTGAATCTGAGACAATGAACACCTGAAAAAACTGACATGAAAAAACGCAACTTTATCATTACCAAAAGCTCATTTAGCAGCTCAGCTAGTCCTACATCCAGTTCCTTCTACCAGGTCAGAGATCTGATGCTCTTCTACACTTCCAGGCATCAGACATACAGAGCTTGAATTTATTTGATTTTCATTTAAGCAGCTTTAATAGAGATAACATCATATATAGAAGGCTAATTTCAAATTCAGCTTTGAACAGATCTGATTTCTACCTTCAGACTTTTTATATTTAAAACAAATCATTTATTTTCATGCACTTGTCTGAAATTGAAGGCAAGATACTTGGCTTGGTGACTGAAAGAGGCACACCTTCTTACTTCATTAATAAAGGCAGGCACAGATCTGAGTCTGTGGAGCTGCATAACACAGTCATTGAAAGCACTGACCATCATAAACATAGGTGTCTGCAATGACGAAGGGACAAAAGAGCAAGACTCGCACTTATTAATGCATCTTCTCATGAAGCTAAAGCTCCATATGCATCCAGCTCTATAGGCTGACAGTGTATTAAAGCAGGTACTTATAAACTCTTACCAGACAGTAAAAGGAACAACTGAGAGCTGAAAAATGAAATACGCCACCATCATTCAGGGTCCACCGACCTCCACAAAATGACAGCTCCCAGCTGACCCCACTGGGCTTCGGATCACATTCCAAAGGCACAAGGTAAGCTTTAAAGAGATGCGAGAGGCCAGCCATAAACATCTCTTACTGCCAGCCTCTAATGACCTTTGGCTGGCTAAAACACTACATGACACAGACTGTGCAGTTAAAACCCCCCACACCTTCTTTTCTCTCTGGGATGGTCCCATTATTCATGCATACATCCAGAAAACCAATAAAGCTAAGCCGTTTCTATGCGTTTATAAACAAGCACTCTGATGGAGGGGCATATCCTCTGAAAGCAGTCAGAAGTCAGGGCTGCAAGGATGTTCCCATTCCTTTGTGGGTCTAGGGCAGGGAACATGAATGACCCATGATGCCTGACACAGGGTGAGTGGTAAAGCACAGGGCAGCAGCCACAAGGCACTCAGCCAGCAGTCTCAGCCACCGGAGCCACAGTGCAGATGGCTTCCCAGGGGAACCACTGTCCTTGACCCTCCTTGATCCCCATTACAGAGGCCATACCACGAGACCTCAGAGAGAGATCGGGCAATGTGAAAGGGAATGGAAATGAAGGGGTCTTCGGGCTCACAAATAAGCATGAAGGACTTCCCCAGGGATAAAGCCAGCAAAGCTGCCAGTTACAGAGGAGCACAAGTAAATACAACGGGAGGGGGGAGCAGATGTGGCAGTCACACATCTAGTGTACATAAAAAGATAGCTCTTTCAGTAGTTTCTTGTAAGAAGCCAGAATATTTTGAAGAACAGTGAATGAGAAACAGTGAATGAAATGTGCTGTATGGTGGTAAGTGAACTCTTGCAAGATTTTTAGGCTGAACTGGCTAAACTTACAGCTGTGCCTATCCACTTAAAGTAACGTGGATCACAGCTTAGCTTAGCTCTGTATACACAGCCCTTGCATCAAATCCCACTGCACTTGAATTTCATTGTACCTAGGCAGATATTAAAATAAAAGCAAAAAAATCATCAGTATCACAGTGAACATCAGCACATGACCATTTCTAGCTCCCAGCTCTGACCTCAGCCCAAACCTCCAAAACCTGTCTATCAATCCTGCAGTGAAAGATCCTGTCACTAAAATTTTGCAGAAAACATCACTGAAATGCATGGCACAGTTTGCCCATCATGATATACAGCCTAACAGTGAAGAGAACAAAAGCCATGCTGGTCAACAAAGACATAAGAGGTAGGTAAGGGCATCAAATTAAGTCTCATTTTATAAACTTTCCAGATTTTGGCAGGCACCTTCAGCCTTTCCAGCTACATTGAGATCCATTTAGAAAAAGTAATTTCTTTATTTGTGAAATTAATTTGTTGGTGAGGATGTGAGGGACTGACAGCCCTTTCAACACATCATATGATGCCGACAGGCACTGAACACAACAGACTGGAAAAAAACAACACTGAAGAGCATCTCCACCTTAAAGGTGCTATCTCACCAATGAAATATATAGCAGATCTGCATTGGCCCACACCATTACTTTCCCTGGCAAGGACTTGGGGACAAAGCTCCTTAAAACAGTAGTAATCATATTCCACTCATGCTCCTTTTTACTGCCAGCTGTAAACTAGCTCCACATGCATCATGGTTTTGCATCAAAATGTGCACAGACCAAGCCCATATCCAAAGGGACAAGGTAGATCCAATTTACAGCTTTGACAGGTCTGTGCACCCGAGGCGGAGCATGCAGGAAATAGACTGATATCTCACTTGGGGAGCGGTTAAGAGCCTGCTAGTAGAACTGGATGCAGAGCCACAATAGCCTCTCACAAAGAACCAGCAAAAGAGCAGGGAATTTGCTATCCATTCTTCAAGAAATACGAAGAACAGGCAGCACCTACCAAAGCACTACTGGGGAAAAGAGGAGTCAAGTTTGATCCCAACTTGCAGCAATCCTTTGTTAGGACAAGTGAAAGGGAACCACAGTGGCACTGGGAAATGCACCCACTGCATTGAGTCATTTCAGTAATGAGACACCACGCTGAAAACTGCTTAAGCCTTTCATATACTTGAAACAAAGCAAAAGGAAATTGTTGTGATCCGATGCAGGTCTTACTAACACATGCAGACCAATTACTTGGCAGAGGAGGTTGAGTCCACTTTAGACCCAGAAATTCTGTTTGTTTGCTACTAACCTAATATCAGGGTTTTTTTCCTTTTTAGTACTGTTTTCCAGTTAAAAACCAAGGCCCATCCTGATGACAACTGAGAATATCTTTACTAATCTGCTCTACAGTACTGTGGAAGAACTGTTTGCAGAAAAGTTCTGTACTTCATCTGGATCTCTGTATGTCTCAAGTGGTAGAGCACTGGAAGATCTCTCTGAAACTGAATTCTTCTCATTACACTCCAGAGTTAAAACCCAGGAAATACATCTGATCTTGCTGAAATTATCTACAAACTGCTTTTCTTCTCCACGTAGAAATACCATTATCTTGCACATATTCCCATCATTCAAAATATTCTTTTCCTAAAGCTGTTCACTACCAACAGTAGAATTTTTCCTTGCAGAATCAAATATGGCTGCTATCTATTAATGCAAGTTTCCAGCCAAAAACTTTTAGACCCTTCCATTTCAGACAAATGACAAGTATACATGACTTAAAGTTGTTTTCAGTAACACGTGAATTGTCACTTCCTTGATGGAAATCAGACTCCTTTATTCATTCCCACCAGTCCTGGCATTGCTCCTGAGACAGCAGGTGACTGGCAAGAGCCCTGAAGAACCAGCAACAGAAAGGAAGTGGGACAAACCAGAAAAAGTTAATGAGCCAGAACTGTTTTTTCCTTTTACCTCTCAGAGGAGCAGCAGCAACTTGCAAGGCAGTAATTAACAGGATTAACTATTTACCTGAGGATGAATCTGCGGTTTATCACATGTAGCCTCAAAATCCAGCACTAAGAAGTAGTGATATCTCTGTGGAGGGAAGGATGACATTGCTGCCATGGAAGCTCCAAAGCCGTGGGACGCCAGTTTCCTGCTTACGATGGAGCGGAACCCTTCGAGAACACCAGCTGGGAAGAGCGGGGACACAGCTTGTCTTGACCTTGAAAGTAAGTTTGGGGGAAACTTTGCTGCTCCAGTATGGAGAAGTGCTATCATTGAACATCCAGAGGCATCTGAAACTGAAGAGAGACTCATGTTACTCATGCACACATACATCTTATCTCTACTGCTATCTGTTCGTTGTCCTCCTCTGACAGGGATTCCCTTTGTGCTCCCCAGTGGAGGTTCCAGCATCACAAACATGAAATAACACAGTAACCTGCTCTAAGCACAACAGGTGACATTTGGATTGAGCTTAAGGTGTCCAGAATCACAGGCAACTGAAAATTAACCTCTGCAAACAATTCTAAATTAAGAACTATGAGATAAACAACAGTCATGGCTCCAGGCACCAGATGACACCCCACTGCTGAACCTCATTATAGCAGAAGAAAAAACCAACACAAACCAACTAAAACACAAAATATCCAAGTCCTGCTGAAATTTCTGAGGCCTTTTATCTGTTCATATACAATGCAGTTTCTGATACATGGTAAAAATCAAACAGAGCAATGCACATACCAATACTACAACTTATCCAAACAGCTTCACCCTGAAACATCTGCCAGTTGCACCAAAACATGGCACTTCCATTACAAATCCAGGTGGCTGGTGGCTGGAAAGCTCCTCCCCAAGAAAGTTCTTGTTTGCTTTGTATACAAGATTTCTCAGAGGTGTGATTTTAGTGCTACACTCCACTTCTAATTTCAGGTATTTCTCTCAGAGGAGGCTATCAGTTCAACTAATCAAATGCAGGGACTGCAGGAAGTGTAAAATGCAAGCAGGGCTCTATAGGCTATGGCCTTCCTCCCAAAGAAATACAAAAATCTTCTTAGCCATCACCTTCTGAAATTTTCATCTAACAAACTATTAAATAAATTACATTATCCATATTGAGACTACCTGGATTTTGCCTCCTGCTACTTCTCTTCTAAAACTTTGCAGGAAAAAGTTGCCAGGATTGTCACTATGCAGGATGGGTCAGCCTCAGGGCTGTTAATAGATCTACAGGGCTGAGAATTCAAGACCAGTTCATGGTGTTACATGGTTGGGTGCAGGGACTGATAGCTAAACAAGCAAATTGCACCAACTCAGTCCTCTTGAAAAAGGGTAAGAATACCCCCTCTAATTGTGTATGCATATATATACATACACATCATGCTACGTAAGATATTTAAATCTATCCTCACGGCTAGTCCCACTGCTTGTGGAAGAATTCCATCACTTGACATGCCACCCACCTTCCTTTTATGAGCATGGCTCCCCCAACCTGTGCTGGCTTTTTGCTCTGCCATGAAGGGATGGAAGCACCCACCGTGAGATAAAGTGGCCACAGCAAAACGGGCACTTGCTGCTCATGAACAAAGTCACTGTTTGCACAAAAGACAGCATTTGCTCTTTCCCATCCGTTAGTCCGTCAGGTAAATAATGCACGTGCCAAAACACACACTTAATGAGGTAAATAATATGCCTTGAATAACAGTTAAATCTGTATTTACCTGCGAGACCAGAGAAACTCGGAAGGACCAGATTAGGAGATAATTGCAGCTAAGTAGGTTGTGTGCTTCGAGTAAACATGCATTTGGTAACCTTCCCTTTCCAAGCTTTTGAGTGAAAGGCAAAAATAAAAGTTGAAATGTTTAAGACCAAACCAGTCCTCACACTGCCAATTCTACAGCATATATGCATTGCCCCTGCCTCAAGGCTTTCATGTTTTGAAGGTGTTTGCTTTGTTAAAGCAGTGTGCTAGACAGCAGGTACCTCAAAAACTCAAAGCCCAAGTTGCAAAACCAAAAATGAAGAGCCCAACATGGCATTTATCTTAAAGGGCTTCAGTTCTACCTATTGCTTTTTCATCTTTAGCTTTGGCTGTCATTCATAAACACATTACAGCCAAAAAGAAGTCACTTATATTTTCTTTAACATGTGCCAGATAAAAGATTTTTAAGGTATATATGCTTTAAATCTTCTAAGTCTAAAGGCCCATCACAACAAATATCTCGCAGAATAAAGCAGCTTGTAAGTTAGTTGCAGGAAAAACTGGTCTTTAGCCTACTGCATCAAATAAAACACACAGTTGGAGAGGGGGAGGCAGACAGGCTTCAACCCCTATATCAAACACAGCAATAAAATGTGTATTATGCACCCACCCACAGCAAGATCTCTTCTCTAATGTATCTTAACTGGCAAGACCTGGGTATCTGACATGGACCCCATGAATCTTCAGGCTGGCTTGCACCACACACAGTGGTGCAGAGGTTTCCAAGCCACTGAATCCATGGCAAAGGTAAACCAGCCACCTTGGCAGGATTCAGGCACATCCCCACGCAGGCACAGCAGCACCATGCCAGACCCTGGCATGGCAGGTCAGGGTCACAAAAGTACCATGCAACATCCGTGGAGGAAATCATCAGCCACCATCTAGTGTCTGTTTACACTAACAGCTTCTGCAGTGGTCCACATCTAGCAGCAGGATCAGGCTCCCCATCCCAAAAGCAGCCTTCCTCCTCACTCTCCTGTGTAGTAGAGGGAGCAGTGCTCCGAACAAAGGTGCATGAGTGGGGTATTGCATGTGGATTTCCCTACACAGGCAGCATACAAACAAGGGTAACCCCACTGCAAACTCTGCACCTTCAGCCAAATGAAGTTTTAACGGTATGTTTACACAGCCACTGCTCTGGGTGCCCTGGGAAGACCTCGCATCATCTTCTTTGGCAAGGTCAGAGTGCCTCAGAGCACAAGATAGCTGGTGAGCAAACACACTTTATTAGATGTCATGTAAAGCATTTATAATGGCTATGACAATGCAAAGCACTAGTAATTATCCTGTACTTTTTTCCAAGAGAAAACGATGCAAGCAATGCAGCTTCAAAAATTAAAAACCCAGCTCTAGCCATATAAATCCACATGTTCAGTGATTCCATTTCCAAACCTACATAAAACACCATATATATATTTCTTATACACACAGGATCAGATTATAATCTCAGACAGTGCAAGCTGTCACATCTGGCAGTCAACCCTACTAGGTTAATATTTCATATCACACAGCTCAAATTCCTCACACAGATATGTATAAAATGTAATGGGACCATGAACTGAGGTTGGACCTCAGGAATTATTTTGACAGATTGTACACAGACCTAGGAAAATATGACAGCACTTTACATTTGCTACACCCAGTAAGATGGGAAATGGCCATATGTGGTGGGTTTCAGATGGAACATAGTTTGTGTTCTGTGCTTTCTAACACTGTGTGTCCCTTATGACAGTACTGGCTAAAATCAGCATCTATATTTTAAAAACAAATTAAGAAAAAAATGTTCTCTGGACATCAGCTGCAGGTACTAAGACAAGTTCAGGCTGACCACAGCTCTTGCTTCTTTAGCAGTCCAAGCACATGGCACTAAAGCACGACAGTTTGATCACCAGTAAGGAAGGAAAGCCAAGAGAAAAGCAAGTGTCAGCTGTAGCCATCAGCTTTGCCAGGGGCCCCACTGAGTGTGAAGCGGAGAATTTGCACTGGCGGCTGTTGCACGCCAGGCTTCCTGCTGGGAAAGTTGCTTAGGGACAACCAAAGCGGCAAGGAACAAGACAGGGAACTCCTGCCACGTGAAGAATGCTGGTGACAAGAGCCAGCAGGGCAGCCCAAAGCCACAGAGAGATGTGCACCACACAAGCTCCAGAGGAGTCAAATTCGTCAATGGCAGGACAAATTAGCCTACTAAGAACTTGAGCTCACTTATTCCTGGCACATAAGATAAATATGAACTTTTTACAACTACATCTAATTAAAATTACAGTTTGCCTCTGAGCCCAAAATATTCCCTTTTACTTTCCAGCTTGATAAACTGAGTAGGGAAGGGGCAGGAAGACAACACCTAACTTCACATTGGTGGGGTGACCAAGAAATTAAATTTTATGAGAGCCTTCACTTACATATTAAATTACTTTGTTATGACAAGACAGCCCTCCACCATACTACAAAGCACACAAACAAGAAAACCCCCCACTAACCTAAAGCATAAGAGAAACTGAAATTAAAAAATAAAAGCAAGCAAGCTCTGGGAGTAAAATGCTTCAGTTTATTACTTGTGCAAAACCTGTGTAGGGGCAGCTGTGACTCCTGGCCTCCAACAGACAACTGAACTCAAGGCTAGAGCAACAAAAACCAATCAAAAATGTAAGTCAGGTTTGTCTATTTTATTGAATTACGGAGGGGAAAAAAGTTAGGGCAACAAAGATGCTTTCTGTAGAACAAAATTGCACACATTTAGCAACACCTGGAACACAGTATAACAAAAAAATGTAGGACTTCAATTTTGGTAGCTGTTCAAATGCATACTCAGAGGTCAAATGTGAGCCCATATTTCACTTGTGTGAAAATATAACTGAAGAACAATAGAGATAACTCAGGGTGTTTTTTAATCAACCTTAACCTAAACCCAAGTATTTCATTAGATGATCTACAGTACAAAAATGACAGCACCTGGCTAGTCTGTGAGGCAGGAAACAAGAGACTATGAACAAGACCAGCTTATCCACTCTCACCACTCAAACTTGCAAAAAAAAATTCCAACCAACATAAAGTAAAACAAATAACAAAAGACAAAGCTTTTAGAACTGTTTAATAAAGTAACACAATTTTAGACAGGTAGATTTGCTTCTTTCTTTAATTTGTTAACCTCACAGTATCATCACTTGAACATGAGAACAGTACACTTCATGGCTGCACTCCCTTCATGTTTGGCTGGTTTTGTCTCCGGCACTGCTAGACAACCACGCCTGTGTTTTGGAAAATTTGTAATGTCATGGCACGTCTATATGCTGCCCCATCATCACTCTGCTCAGATACAACTTGGCATTCATCATTTTCTTTTTACAGTACTCCACAATCACACGCAGGCTCTTCCCACTACAGATGAGGAGGTCCCTGTTCTCAAGAACTTACAGTCTAAAATTAGAAGCAATACAAGTGAGGGGAACAACAGAAAAGAATGAGGGGTACAGGAGGAGAGTTGGGCAACTGCTCATCTGGGAGAAACATGCATCTGGGTAGGTCAACTGAAAAAAATAATTCACCCTATACAGGCAGTGGTTTCCCTCTGTATGGTCATTATGGAAGAGATAAGTGAACATGGAAAGGGCTGACTAAAGGATGGAGGGCTCTTGGGTTAAGGAAGGTCTCTCCCATTTCTTGAGCTCATTCTTGCCGCTGGGTTCCTTGGCTGATTTGTCAAAGGCACGACCACACATGTCAGAGCACCAGAATCTCTTCCATTGTGACATCACAGACGCGATGGCTTGTGAGATCACAATGTGCAAGGCCGAAGGCGCTGATTACTTAGGGAAGCACTTGCTGGAGCTATGGCACCCTACAAAGCTGGGAAACAAACACATCTCAGTTCACTTGACAACACAGCAAAACCCACATGAGACTCCACACCAGCAGGACACGAATTTGTCTGAACAGACCACCCAGAAGCCATCCCAAAGATGCACAGTACAATTCCACTCCAATTTTATTAGGCCACCTCTGCTAGGCAACCCACTTTCGTCAGCTCCTTGACTGGTCTCCTAAGACAGGCTTTGCTGTGTATTTTTAAACCTTCTCCAAGAGTAACTGCAGATGAGCAAACGGGTCTAAGCTGGAGTCTGAAGAAGTTCCACACAGCAAAGGACTGGTCACTTAGAAGAAACGTAGAGAAAGGAAAGAACAAAAATTAAAACAAAGAAGCAATAACAGGGACATATACAGCAAAAGCCAAAGAGGAAGAACAGATTTGCTATTAAGGAAAAGAACAATTGCACAGGATCAGACCAAAAATCCTCTAGTCCAGTCTCCTGCCTCTGCCTGGGAGCCATAAGAAAATGCATCAGTGTGAAACTACACAAAATGAGGTTAACCAAGCCAACAGTTCTGGGAGGCCAAAAGGAGGCAGGCCTGTCCTTCCCTCTTAGTCTTATTCTCCTGCTGATTACGTTACACCAGTTCCAGAGCATGTCTGGCCCTTCTGTGAGCCGATTCAACCACAGCAACCTATAGAAGGACTAACATAGCCAGAATAAAACACAATTAAAACAAGATAGTTTCTGGCTGGTTTAGTGAGACAAATTAGCTCAGAGACAGGCTGGATGAATACCAGAGCTCAAAGAAGAGGATGAGCCCACACTGGCAGAAGCAGGAATGAGATGAGCCACTGGGGCTGTTGGTCAGCTCAGCCACTCACCAAACCATGTACTCAGACAAGGACAGAGACACCTGGGATAACATGGCACTTTGCAGAGAATGGAGAAGTTATCTTGGCTCTAGCAGCACAGACACATTAAACTTGAATTCACAAAGCCCATCAGACCATCCTGCCTGGACCCTCATGTAATGCTGGCCCTAAAGTTTCCAATTCCTTAGTCAAACCCAAAGGCTTGAACATCTTTCAGAAAAGTTTCTGGCCTTGAATTGCAGCATGAAGAATGGAGGTTCCCCTCTACCTTCAGACGGCTCATTTCAATGGTCAATCCATTTGCTGTCAAAAAATAACACGTCTTAGTTTCATTCAAACTTTCCCAGCCCTGGTCTTTGAGATAAGTTTTGAAATTTATGGCACTTCAGTGCTCTCAATGCTCAGCACAGCTCCCAGTGCCAGGAGCTAGAGATTTGTAGCTACTACACATCTAGTCAGTAAAAGCTGCTATTGCACATTGGCCTAATTTAGTGGAAAGGAGACATAGTAGGCCACCCTTTGTTTAATGGTATCTGGCACACATAATTACTTTATTTTCATATACATGAATGCCACAGTTGTTCAAACCACTTATACAGCTGCACACCTTCGTTATCTGAAAAATGAAGATTAACACCTGAGAGTGCCAAATCAATCTCAGCCTGGATTCGGGGAAACAAGATTTGCATTGCTCAATACACTGGTAATTTTGATCTTCACAAATGTGCTCTAAAAGTGTTAAAAGGAAGCCCCATAAAAGCTCTGTCCTCGTACACTGGCAATGGCTCCAAGCAGGGTAGCAGCTACAGTGGGGCATGGTTTCCACACAACCCAGCCTCAACCCAGAAAAGCTGCCAAGGAAGATGCTGTCTCTAATACTCAACCACAGGAAAAAAAAAAAAAAATTGTAACAAATACAGCTGAAATTTAAGAATTTTTTTTTTCATTAGAAGAGAAGTATCTTTACAACACATCTAGGGAGAACATTTCAGCTGGCCTCAGGTGAGCTGAGATCACTTCTCTTAGGGCAGGGAAATGGTTCAAATGGCCCCTAGCACAGCTAGCACCTCTGCTCTAGGTTATGTCTTGACAAGTTCTTCCCTTATTCCCCTGCTTGCTATGGCACCATACTGGTGTTTTAGCTCATCGCTACCAGAGTGAAACACCAGGAGTCCCAGCAGCACCATTTCTAGCAAATATACCTGCTTCAGATCCAAAACAGACTTGTGACAAAAGCAGAGTTGCTTACAGCCTTCCATGCTCTCCTGTAAACCCAGGCACAGTGGGCAGTCCTGCACCATTTACCTGGATGTCACCATACCTGCACTCCACAGCCTTGGGGCCCTCCACTGCAGGTGGCCACAGGACTGACACAGAGACACGGTGAAATGCATATACTTCACACATTTAAGCATCTTCCAGAACTCTATTTCCAAAATTTAAGGAGGTTAAAAAGAAAATAAAATCAAGGCCTACCGAAGTTAACAGAATCAAAACAAGATAAGCACCAAACCAGCTGTAATCAGGCCCTCTAAAGAAAGCAAACTGAAGCATCTCTTAAGTGCAGAACAGAAACTTTAGGCCCTATCAGTGTTTATTCAATCCAAGGTCTTCTTTATTTAGCATCCGGAATATAGGCATTTTTAAAAAGGCTTTAATCACTTTCTTCTTTTGGACTTTGGTACCACTCAAATCTGTTTAGACACACTAACTTTACCAAAAAAAAAAAAAATAAAAAATCAAACCACACACACTATTCATGTAGCGCAACCCAAAGTTTGAGACGAACAAGAATGTATAAAAGGGCCATAAGGCCACTCTTTGAAAGAAAGCAAACATTTAGCCCACATTGTAAATTAATGTGAAAATCCAGTTGCAAAGAGCAGAATTCAGTGCTTCAAAATGGAAACAAAAATATCTGAAATAAAAAACACCATCTGAAATCAAATTTCCCAAGCCTACACAGTGGGGACTAACCAATTAGACTTTAAACATACTACTGTATTTCAGTATAACTCATTCTTGGACAAAAGTTCAGATGCCAACTTTAATATCAAGCTATCTGAGACGCTACAATGTTGCAAAAAGACACTACAGGACAAAATCTATTCAAAGTTACCATTAGAAAGAAATCAGATAAAATCCTCAAACAGCTGTTAACAGCATCTGATGGGACAAGTGCTTTGGAGATGTACCTTTCTGGAGCCCTGCATACCTCATCCTTCCTGAGACACAGTGCAAGCATTAACATATTAAAAAAGTTGCTGGTCCCCTTGCATCACAGCTGAAAGAGTATCATCAAGAGTTTAGACTAAACAGCAGCTGCCAATCCACCATCTCTGGAACCAAAAGCTCAATAAAGAAACTAGATAAGTAAAGAAGTAGCAAAACAAATGTCACACTTATTAGCAAACAGGCCAGCAATGACTACGTAAATCCACCAGACACAGGACTTGCAAAAGACAGAACATAAGCAGTAAATGACAACACCTCTTCATACATCTCAGTTTGTAAGAAACACCTGTAACAGCATAGCAGCAAGAAGAGAAAAGGAGAAGAAATTCCTACTGCCACTGAAGAAACAAGCAAACAGACTGTACTCCTAAGCTTTCTCAAGTTTACTTCACTCTCCAGATCTGAGACAGGTGAACAGTTCAAGCCCACAGTGTAAAAAATATATTAAAACAAAACAAAACAAAAAAAAACCCTCCTACTCCCTCATTCCCTCCACCTATGAACCTCCAAATCCCAAAACATTAAAAAACCCCTTGCTGCTGCTGCTGCCTCCAGCTCAGCCCGTGCCCACTCCCCGGGCAGACGGGCTGTTTTCCATTCCTCAAGCCCTGAAAGCGACTGATCGGGCTGCAGCCGGGACCTGGGGGGCTGCTGCCACAGCCAGCCCCCAGAGCTCCCCCCGGGGCCGCCCCGGGGCGCGGAGGGCCCGGCAGCCCCGGCGTCGAGCGGGCAAGGCGCGGCCCCCCGCGCCCTCCTCTCGGGCCGGGGCCGCCCCCGGTCCTCACCGGCACCCCCGCCTCGCCCGGCCCGGCCCGGCCCGCGGCCCCACGCCCCCGGTTCGAGCCCCGCCGCCGGGCCGCGGCCCCGCTCCGCGCCGGGCCTTTCCCCCCGCCCCGGGCCACGGCGGCCCCGCGTCTCCGCCAGGCCTGCGGGGCCCCCGCGCCCGCCGGGCCCCGCAGGGCCGGGCCGAGGCGCCGCCCGCCTCCCGCACCACCCCCGCGGTGGAGCCGCCCCGGGCCGGCCGGGCCGGGCCCCGCGCCCCGCACTCCGCACCACGAGTGCCCGGCACCGCCACTCACCGCCCGCACTCTGACCCCCGACCCCGCGCTGAGCGGCAGCGCCGCCGCCCAACCGCAGCGCCGCCCGCCGCCGCCGGGGGCGGGGCTTCCGACCCGCCGCGCCCCCTCGCGCAGCCGCGCGCCTCGCGCCGCCCCGCGGGGCACGCTGGGGGTCGTAGTTCTCTCCGGCCGGCCCCGCCGCGTGGCCGCGCCTCGACGCCGCGCCGGGTCCCCGGGCGCTGAGGCCCACCCCCGTGCCCGCCGGAATATCTCCTCTCCCCGCAGACCGACTCCTCGTCTGCCCCGGGGCCACCATTTACCCGCCTTGTGTCCTCAAAGGCCATCCCACCGTGTCGCCAGGACACCTCCTCCAACTCCTGCTGCCTCCGCGCTTCTGTGTTCACTCGTCCCTCTTAGCCGAAACCTGTGTCTGAACCGTACCCGGTCTTTTCTTGACACCCCTGAGCTGTGGCACCTCCTCCCCACTCACACGGCTGGCACCCTGAGCCAGGATGTATCAGATCTCGCTGGCTGTCACACTGCAAGGGCTCTGAGCCCCATCCCTGCCAGCTGTGCAGGAACAGCCGGGAGGTCATGCATTGTCCCTCTCTGGAGATGAAATGAACAGGGCTTATGCCTTTATTTATGTTCAGCTCTTTATTAAAAAGATCAGCTGGGCAGGGAGCTCGACACAGAGCTCACCCCCGCTGTTGTGGCTTTCCCGGTAGCCAAAGGGTGAGAAGGCTGCAGAGTCTGTCCCTGAAGTCTTCGTGGCACACTGGTAGCAGGAAGTGAAGAGGTGTCCAGTCTGTATCTGAAGTCCTCTCTCCTCCTGGCTCACTGGTAGCCAAAGGGTGAGGAGATGTGCAGAGCCTGTTCCTGAAGTCCAGCAGCAGCTATCCCTCTCCTTCCCTCCTGGTAACACCAGGAAGAGCTGCTTCTTTGTTCCTGCTTCCCACAGCCCAGTCCAGTCCAGTCCTCTGTAAGCTATGGTGACAGGTCAAACATTGACTATGGATGTGGTTCCCTTTTCCCTAACCAGCACACCCGTCCAGCCCCCTCCATTGTTCATAACAGAGACATGCAAGACACACCTGGAAGCATTCCTCTGTCACCTCCCCTGGTGACCCTGCCTTGGCAAGGGAATTGGACTAGATGATCTCCAGGGATCCCTTCCAACCCCAACAATTCTGTGATTCTCTGAGCTTACCTGCAATGATACCTAATCTTTAGCCTACTGATGCATCCATAACTCTTGGAATCTCAGCTGCGATGACAAGTGTTCTAGCTGGGGCCATTCCCTGCTATTCATTGCTTCCTTCCCCGCTTCTCACCTTAACTCACACCTCCACACTTCAAGCCAGCAGCTCCTTTGCACACCCCTGATACTCCTCATATGTGTGATGAACAAACTCAGAGCACTGAGCCATGCAAATAGGACTGTGAAGGATTCTAGAGGCCACCTTACCCACCCTTTGCCTGCAGGCAGGAGCAATCCTACATGTCATCTTGCTCTCCTCTTCAAATCATTCCTTAAACCTTTCTCTGGCTCCATGTCTTAAAATACTGGACAAAGATAAGTACCAGAGTGCAGAGATCACTGACTGATGCTCCATGCAAAGAGGGCTGGCTGCCTGACTGAATCTGCCTGGTTCTCCTGCCTTTGAGTTGCTGGCTCTTCAGGCAGGATTTATCCTTTCCTCTGTTTGCATGAGGCCTTGAACTTGAGAGGCCTGAACTATGAAAGTATCATGTCAGAACTATAAAAATACCAACAGCAAACCATTTAATAATAGTAAGGGTTCCTTTAAGCCCTCTTAGATTTGGCATCTCTCAGCTTCCCACCCACATAAGCAAGGATAATGTGAAATTTTACTTCTAAGCTTAGCTATGTTGCTGTGATTTGTCAAGTCGTTGGTGACTGACGTATGATTTGCAAGGAGCCCAGGATACTGAATTGAAGGCCTTTGCACTGTGGTGTTCCTTAAGCAATCTGTCCCTGGTCCTCCCTTAGCAGGGATGGAAATCGGCTGAAATTACACTGCAGTCCCAAAGCTTGAAATTTAGGGCTCACAGCCTGCCTGTGTTTCTAAAAGGATGAAAGAGAAGAGGCCTTTCCTCTGCTGACCTGTACATCTTGCAGGAAAAAGTAATTCCTTGGTCTAGACAAACAATGAATGGCTCAGAGATGTGTGCGTATCCTTTTTTCATCAGCCAAGCCTCGTTCTGTGTCCCAGGTTTCCCAGGCAGTACAGCAGGTGGATTTCCTCCTGCCCAGTTCTTTGGGGAAAAATCCCTTTTCCCAGTTGAGTTATCTGCAGCACCCAGCGCCATACCTTGGCTTCTGCCAGCCTTCATGACCCTTGTGAGATCCATACAAGTTGTCCACCAAAAACTGCAGGACAGCAATGAGATTCCCTTCAGCAACTGCACTTTCAGAGGTATTTTTTTTTTTCTGGCACAACTATCAGCACCCAAATCAGTTCAAAGAGAGCTGTGTTTTATGAAATATTGTCACTGTTTCTGTATTGTTCATGTCTGAGCCTGTCTTACACCTCAAATGAACACTGTAGGCCACTGAAAATGTCACCTACAGATTAATCTGGCTCACTCCAGGCTTCTGGAAAAATAAATGAGGGTGATCAATAGATATCCTGTGGCGTGCCCTTCAATGCACATGGCCCCTGTAGCATCCTCACTGGGAACAGCTCCCCTCCCTAGGGGACTCTGCCAGGAAAGACAGTCAATTGCCATGGGGCCCTAGGCAAGGAATGCTGACAAACTGGGTCATGCAGGTGGGGAACAGTGGTCAAAAGGGCTGATAGTTGCTCATTAGGGCCACCTTATTTATTCCAGGTAGCACAGCCCATGTCAGTCCCGTGACCCCATTGCCTCAGGACCGGCTCTACCCAAGCGCAAGCGAGCGAGTTTCAGGAGTCACTCTGGTGTCTTAATTGCTTGCCCTACTTTACAGATTTTGAGATGGCTAGAAGAAGCCCACAGGAAATAGGGTCCATGCTGTGGCAATGTCTCCTCTGTCCGAATTTACATGAAAGACTCTCTTCAAACCTTGGGTGGAAATCAGCTCAGATTCCAGCTGTGACTTTCTCTCCTATGGCTGGATCCCTCTGCTGATGCCAGCAGATGCAGCAACCTGGTCTACAGTTACCTGAAGTTTCATTTGTTTTAAAGCCCCAATAGTTTCTTAGCAAAGCATCATTTCATTCAGCACAGATGTTAAGCCACCACTGGGCTGATGGATGGAAAGAGCTTGATTAGAAAGTAGCAAACCAGTGGGGCAGGGCAAGGCAGAAAATACAGAATAAACCTCACTGGCCCCATGTGACAGCTGCAAGGGATCATCTGTGAAGACAGGGCTGAGCTTATCCTAACCCAAGATCAACCATCATGTCTCTGCCTGATGCTGGGTCAGCACAGAGAAGGAGAGACATTCCCCAGCTCTTCTCCCACTGCCTCCTAAGGTCCATGGAGCACAGCTCCTTTTAAAGCAATAGGATTTTACATTATTATGGCACAAAGAGACATCAGATCATTTTAAAGGCAACTCTGTTAATACTGTTCAGCTGCTTATGCTGAGTGAAACTTTTAAATGTCTTATAATACACATGACAAGTAGTTTTGTATCACTGTTTTCTACTTAACAAGTTAATAACGTGCCAACCCAAATCCTTCAGTTACTAACGCCACCGGTGGGACTCATTAACCAACGTGAGTACATATTTAAGGGAATACTAATATTCACAATGTACATTTTTATATTCATGTTGTCATTCTTGAAACCACAGCTCAGTTCATGTATTCTGTTGAAACATTTGTTTGCAGAGGATTTCTCTCTCCCTTTTCCTCTAAACACAGAGACTATCACTGGGGTATCATTCTGGTGAATGATATTAATGACAGCCTGTCATCATGGAAAGCTATTTCTAGCTGTCAATTAAAGGGTGTTTTGAAAGAAAGCAGCTCATTCAAACCCCGTGGGAGCAAGTGTGTCTCATTGTCTGACAGTGACCCCCTTGATGAATTTGGGAGCAACAGCAGTTCTGTGGGGCTAAGAGCTTTGCAGATGCAGCACAGGGCTCTTGGATGACAATGACAGGATATTTTAAAGGTGCTGATGTCCTCAGCAAAGAAAAGGCAAAAGAGTATTTCAGATGATAAAAACAATCCACAGTTAGGAGTACTGGTCAGGAAAGAAGTCCCAGGGATACTGAACCATTCTCCTCCATCTTGTAATACAATTTCCTATCCAACATCCAATTTGTCAGCCTCCGTCTTCAAATATGTCTTTTTACTTGCCCATGCTAACCCAAGTAGAAGGCTTCTTCAGCATTTCTCTATCTGATAGATGGAAAAACCTCTAATTCCCAGACAAAATGTAATTATAGCTAGTTTACTCTAATTTATTCTGGAAAAATGATCCTTTGATTTAGCTTGTTGGTTTCTTCCCCTTTCCTGGTGTATTCATAGGCAGCTGTCAGATCCCAGCCATTTTTGCCATCCTTGCTTTGGTGGCCTAAACAAGCCATTTTTTCTCATGCATCCTTAGTATCTTATCTTTCCATTTCCCACTCCAGCTTAGTAGACCTCCTCTGCACCTGCTTCAGTTTCAATTAAATTTTCTTGAGCATGAGTACCCAGACTGGTATGTGGTATTCCTGAGCTGGGCTCCAAGGCCTCGTACAATATATGTCACTTGACCCTATAAATATCACTCATATAAACATGCTTGATTTCTACATTTCCCCCTCAACAGGGTGGTCCACTCTCAGGGCTTTCTCGTTCCTTTTATTTTCCTAAGCACTCCTTGCGCAGTAATAAAAATGTACAGACTCAGTGGGGATCTGTTTTAACTTCAAATGTGCTGATTCAGTTCGAAAACCATTAATTCAGCCAGAATCAGGGCCATGGGGTGGAAATCCTTTTCCAGTTAAAACAGAGGTGAGAGGGACAGCCTTTGGCAGGCTAGGAAATAAACTGCATTAGAAAACATTGCAGGACATCAGAAAGTGGCTGTTGACTGGGCTGTGTTAACAGAGGACAGGGGAGTCTTGGACATTACACATCAAGATGGGATGTCTCCA